GCGACACTGAGGGTTGCGATCCATTGCCGGTCACGAAAAAAGACAAAAAGGGAAAAAAATATATATATGAGTACAAGTAGGGATGCTAGGATCACCTCTTCCTTTTTAACACCGGGATTAGAAACATCATCTCCCCTCACCTACCCCTCTTGCTAAGCAGTAGCAGCTGGTGGTGGATTCTATGATGAGGGCAGGATGCCCAGAAGTGAAAAGAACTGGATTTTGGCCGGGAGAATTTAAGGCAGATGAAGTCTCTGGAATGGGGATATGGGGTTTAGGGCAAAAGGAGCTCTAAGGGCACAATCTCTCATTTGTGTCTGAAACCCACTGACCAATCTCCCCCCTTTGTTTATTTCTACTGGTCCTAGAGACACCCTTGTCTGCTTGTCTTTCCTCTGCCAATGTTTTTGATTTGCATCAGCATTTTTATCTTTCCTGGCCCCTGGAACTGGACTTCTCACAGCTCTACCTTTATGCTGACATTTTCTAATAGTTTGACAGCTAGAAATAATGGAGAAAACTATGTAAAAATCTTCCCACTCTATCTTTGTCCCTTGTCTTTCTAAATCTAGCTACTTTAAGCAGAAGGCAAAGCCCAGACATGTGAGCTATTGTGAGTGCTGGGAGGGAAAAAAAAAAAAAAAAACCAGATGATTTGTCCTCAGTTCAAACACAGAGGCTTCCTGGGTGTGTAGGGTAATGGGCTGTGAAATGCCGATAGGGAGTGAAGAAGAATGTCAGGGAGCTACGAAAGTGGCACAGAGGTGGGGCAGGGCAGTGTTTCACTTACCTTCAACAAACATAGGGATTTACCTTCTCCTGTCTCCTCAGCCCCCTCACAATCACCAATCATTCCTTTGAAAATATCACTGTAGACTGCCTGAGGATAAGCTGGAAAGTGAGAGTGGGTGGGTGTGCAGCAAGAATAACAAGATCCTGGGCACTGCAGACTCTGAGGGAAGGAAGGGAATTACTGTTTTGTTTTAATCTGGAAAAGAGGGGGTTTCTCTGTTCTCTCCATGCTGAAGAAGTAAAACCTGACTCTAAAGACTGCTAATATACTACCACTTTGGCTGGAGTCAGAAAAGTATATTGAAGAGTCTTTTGGTACTGTCATAAAATGTGCAAAGTATTTGATAATACCCAAGCTTTACAGAATGGTGGCGTGAGTTGAGGATCCTGCAACTTTGTCCTCAGTGGCCTCAGGTACAGGTAGTAATGGGGCCTGTGTGGCACAATGGAGGGCAGTAAGTGAGCTGGTTATGACCATTGCTATTTTAGTCATTTCCTTTGCTGCCAGCCTTCAAGGGAGAGATCTTTGCTTTATTGGTGGCTGCCCTTCCATTTCTGAAGATCATCCAGTTTCCCTGACCTATATGGATACTGAGGCAACTCTTGGGAGAAAAATAGGGCACTCGAAAAGTATTTATGTCCTTTTTCTCAGTGATATTTGAGAGACACTAAAACATACCCATATCTGAGTTTATCTAAGTCTTGGCTCTATTTGTTACTAGCTCAGTGACCGTGAGCAAGCTAGAGTTATCTGCTATCTGACTGATCTGAGTTTTCTTGACTGCTTTAAAAAGAAATAGGAGGGAAGGTAAGAATAATATGAGGGGGTCTTCAAAAAGTTCATGGAATGGTTTATCATTTAATTTAATTTTTCACGGACTTTTTGAAGGACCCTCTTACATTTAACTGCCACCAAAGGACTATTGTGAGGATTAAGCAACAACAAAATGGGCTTAAGTCACTTATCAATATTATAATTTCTATTTCAATATACTGTTTTACTCTGTGCCAGGCAATGTTCTAGGTGCTTTTCACACGTGAAATTTTAATATTCTTACTACAACCCTGGAGATAGGTACTATTATTACACCCACACTACAGGTGAGTAAGCCAAATAATAGCGTGCTTAAATCACTTGTCCGATATCCCACGGTTTGATAGTGGTAGAGAGGGGAGTCAAACCCAGAAACTCAGGTTTCAAAGTCTGTGCCCTTATGCAGTTAAAACGTCAGACAACAACCAAAAGGAGATGGAGAATAGAGGGTAGAAAGGGCAGGGGTTCAAGGTGAACAGTTCAGAAACTGCAAATTGAGAGTTTGGGTTGATCCCTGAAGCTTAAAGGCATCATCGTGAATTGTTCACCTAAACTAAATTAAGCTCTTATTTTAAAATGATTGATAAGCTTGTAAGTCAACTTAGAAGCAAATTGGGAAAATGTTCAAGAAATGACTGTCTAAGGGCCTGGCGTTTCGTGCCTTTTACCAGATAAGTCTTCTGGATCTTCCAAACAGGTACTGTGTTAATGAAGGAGTCCACGCACTAACGAACACGGGCGCGAAGGGGTTAATGCCAGGCCTGGAGGTGCGGAGGGGGAAGGGGAAGAGGATTATGGGTACCCCGTTGTACGTAGCCCCGAGGGCGCGTCGGAAATGTCTAGAGTGCTTCTTTATCATGACCGACACTAAGTGAGGGCGAAGGACGCGCAACGATTTGGCCACGGCGGCCGCCACTGCTCTGCGAGGCCGCAGGTCAGGGGCCATCGGCCGCCGCCAGGAGAGCGGACGACGCGGAGGTTTGTAGCACTTCTTACTGGCTGACGGCGTAGGCACGGCCGGCTGGCAGCCACGCAGGGAAGGAGGAACGGAAGTGAGGGGATGAGAAGTAGGGGGAACTGACAGACGGACGGACACGGCGGCGAGAATTGGTGGCGTAGGTGTAGGATTAAGGGGGTGTGTAACTATATTGTATGTCCGGGTTGACGTTGAAATGTGTGAATCTTCTGGTTATTAGCTGCTGGGGACAGGCAGGGTTTATGGGGGACGAGGCGAATAGATGAATGGAGGATAAAATCAGGGCAAGACGTGTTGTCGGCCGGGCACCAGAACATCTGAGTTGCATGTCTACGGGATGATTTTATTGGGATAGTTGATTGACTTCTTTTAACAAATTACCAAGAAGCTGATCTGTGCTGGGTACTGTAGTAGAGGCTCTGGATGAGGAAAGGTATTAGCCTTTATCCTCGACATTTACAGTTTGCCAATTACTATCTGCATTTGGAGACAGGCAGTTAGAATGCAAGGAGATAGATACTTGAAAATCATGTGTTATCAAAACATACTGGGGGCCACCAAATTCACCTGGTGGTGGGGTTTGGGACACCTCTTTGATGTGGTGATTTCAAATATATTTTGAAAAAAATAAGCAGGGCAAAACGGGGTGCAATTTTCCTCCAGGCGTGTTCCCTCCCTGTTTAGCTCAGATGCTTCTACTTGGAGAACTGCATAGCAGTTAAGGCCCAAACTAGTTTATAGCACTTGTCTATCACAGTGGCAATTCCAGGATCCTTCTGGGAGATTCATTCTTACTTAAGAGCAAGGCCTACCCATGTGTGTGGAGCCTGCAAACTCTTAGTAGGACTACAATGCAGGACTCACAGAATCTCTGGCCTAAGCACTTGAAACAGTTTTTTCTTGGCCAGTTCTTTGGTTTTCCAGCAAATTCAGTTCACAGCAGGGAATTGTGCACCCACCAAAAGCCTTAAGCAATCTTAAAGCTTCTGAATCATCAAATCTGTTGCTTTATTTACCAGGGAAACAACAGTATGGCAGACAGTCTTAAGTCAGTGGTTCTCAAACTTTGATGTGAATCATAATCAGCCGGAGGGCTTGTTTAAACACAGATTGTTGGCTGTCATCCACAGTTGCTTATTCAGTTGGTCTGGGGTGGGCCCCCAAATTTACATTTCTAACAAGGTCCCAGGAGATGCTGATACTGCTGATCCTGAGACCACACTTGGAGAACTAGTGGTGTAAACAGAGCTGACATTAGTTAGCCTGAAAGGACATCTTCTGTAGGGAAGGCTAGGCACACTCCAAAAGTCAGGCATGTTTGAATTAAGTCACAGTGGATCTGCAATAAATGGACTTGGGTTTTTTCGAAACAGCATAGAAAAACTTTTATTTATTTTTATATTTGTATTATTTTTATTTTATATAGAGAAATTATAACTATATATTTATGGGATACAAAGTGATATTATATGTATACAATGTGGAATGGTTAAACCAAGCCAATTAATATTTTCCTTTTCTTCACATCCTCATCAACACTTATTATCTCTCATCTTTTTCATAATAGATATTCTGACAGGTGTCAGATGATATCTCATTGTGGTTTTAATTTGCATTTCCCTAATGATTAGTGATGTTGAGCATTTTTTTTCGTATGTCTCTTGGCCATTTGTATGTCTTCTTTTGAGAAATGTCTATTCAGGTTCTTTGCCCATTTTTTAATTGGGTTATTTGTTTTCTTGCTCTTGAGTTGTTTGAGTTCCTTATATATTTTGGATCTTAATCCCTTATCAGATGTATGGCTTGCAAATACAGTCATGCATCACATAACAACGTTGAGGTCAATGACAGACCACATATACGATGGTCTCAGAAGATTATGGGTGTATAGTAGGCTATACCATCTAGGTTTGTGTAAGTACACTCTGTGAGGTTTGCACAATGATGAAATTGCCTAATGATGCATATCTTGGAACGTTTCCCCTTCATTAAGCGACACATGACTATATTTTTCTCCAAATCCGTAGGTTATCACTTTACTCTGCTGTTTCCTTCGTAGCACAGAAACTTTTTAGTTTGATATAATCCCAGTTGTCTATTTTGGCTTTTGTTGCCTGAGCTTTTGGGGTCAAATCCAAAAAATCAATACCCAGACCAATGTCATGTAGTTTTTACTTTGTGTTTTCTTCTAGTAGTTTTACAGTTTCAGGTCTTACATTTTAAGTCTTTAACAAAATGGATTTGTTTTTGTTGTTCATTTGTATGTTCTAGATGTTCAAGCAAAGATGATCTTCCTGAACTAAACAAGGCAACTCTGTTTTTTCTTCAACTGTAGGTGTCAGAGTGCCTTATACCATAAATTGTTCAAAGCACAAAGTAGCTAGGGATGGCTGGTTAGGTCACTTGGTTAGAGTGTGGTGCTGATAATGCCAAGCCACCAAGGTCAAGAGTTCAGATCCCTGTATGGACCAGCTGTACCCTCCCCCCAAAATAGCACACACACGAAGTAGCTACTTTTTATTCAAATCCCTTGCTGAGTTATATTCACATAGCCAGTTATTGACAATGGAACTTACACCCCCACTTGTGTAATCAACAAGAGAAAAAATGGGGTGTTCTTAATTTCTGGCAATAAACTATGTTTGAAATTTAAACAAAAATAAAAAGTTGTGACAATCTAATTGACAGAGAAAGATTAGTATAAGGAGTCAGATTTGAGAAGGTATGGTAGGTCATTTTCTCCTCACTCTCAATAAAACCCCTCCCTCCTCAGAAGACATGATCACTTTATTTACTCTATAACACAGGAGAATCAGAAATCCTATTGTGCCAGAGTTAATTTGAAGCCTTTCTTTAGGGACTGACCCTAAATAGTCTCCTGGAGGGTGACAGTCCACAGTTATACCTCCCCTCCAAACTCTCCCATGAGCTTGAAAAGGGCCAGGACATATTTTCGGAAATGCCACTAATCATCCTAGACTCCTGTCAATGCTATATCCCAAATTTCTTCCCAGGCTGTTTTCAAAACAATACATATGAAACCCAAAACCAAATATGCAGACACACATAAAGCAACAACAAAAAGTCCAAACAAACTGGTCTGGGTCTATTATGAGTCTCTACAGGGGCCAGCAAGATGCTAGGATGGGCAGTGCCCTAGATGTTTCAGAAATCTGTTATCTGGGGCCGAGCCCCTGGCGCACTCGGGAGGGTGCGGCACTGGGAGCGCAGCAGCGCTCCCGCCGTGGGTTCGGATCCTATATAGGGATGACCTGTGCACTCACAGTGCTCACTGGCTGAGCGCAGTGCGGCCGGTCTCAAAAAAGGACCAAAAAAAAAGAAAGAAAGAAAGAAATCTGTTGTTTGTAATACCCACATTCCAAGGGAGTCAGTAGGATACTCACACACATGACTCTTGAAAGTGAATCAAATTCCGCATGTGGTTGGTGAGTCTCTTATGCTCCTGCACTGATTCCTCCCCTCCACAACATTCCTCATCTCTACCTAATCCATATCTAGTTTTACAGGTAGTGTAATTTTCTATGAAATATGAGGAGATAAAACAAACTTACCTAAGTTTGAGCTCTGCAGCTCTATGTCCTAAATGATTCTAAGTGGTAATGGTTTAATTTTGTTGCATGAACATTGTGTGATTCAGGGACCCTGAGAATAGAGGTGCTAGCAACAAACACATAATTACTCCATAATTCAAGTTCAGATGGGATTGTTTTTAATCCAGATTCTCTGCTTGCTGCAGTCCATTCCTTAAATAACTTTAAATCAGTATGTGTCTCTAACCTGAAATAGGGTAGGGTTTCTGGCCTGGTACTTAACTATCAGATTATGGAGGTCAGTGTTCGGAATGGTTTTTCTGAATGTAAGAGTTCTTGTATCAAGTGAGTGAGAACTATAAAGGAGAGGGGAAAGGGGGTAATTATCATAATTGCTGAGTAACTCATTCTATCTGTAAGAAATAATAGAAGTCCTAGTACTATTACTGGAATTGTTTAATTGGTGGGCACTCAAAGATATTGATTACAATTGTTGAGTAAAACCAACAACTGACCTCATGGTTATGCGCAAAGTACAAAATGTCTCAATCTCTTGTTTTATTGTAAAAATTTATGTGAATTTCTGAAGTTATGAAAATTTACACCTGCATTTTCTTCTAAGAGTTATATGTTTTTATCTCTTGCATTTATGACTTTGTTCCATTTTGAGATAATTTTGGCATATGGTGTGAAGTAGGAGTCCAACTTTCTTTTCCAGGTGGACATCCAGTTGTCTTAGCAGCTGCACAGCTTACTGTGATTGAAAGGCTTCTGATTTTCAAGGCTACCACTGGGCAGGGGAGAGGGGGATGCAAACAAGGCAAGTTAAAAGGCTACAAAGATCAGTGTCCTTACCAAGATTCAGTTGTTTTCTTGAATAAATACTCCTCAGATTATTGCTAGTTTTTGGATTAATTTCCAGAGTATTGAAAAAGTTGGTTCTGACA